TAAAGAAAGAAACAGTTTTTAGTAAGTTGTGTTCATTGGCTTGGCATAAAGGTTCCCAAAGCTAGTCTTGGGCTGTTCCTCAGCATCTGCCAAGTGAGTTTTCACTATGTCATATCCACTGAACAATAATATAATTAATGGCTTTTGTTTCTACCCTTACTGGGGACCCCATTGTGCTCAGTGAGTTCACATACAAGTTCTTAAGTCCTCTTAATGCCCTGCAAGACAGGCATTCCTATTTCTACTTTGCCAAGTGAGGAAGCTGAGTCACAGGATGGTTAAGCACATTGCCCACCAAGACTTAGCTAGTGAGTAGGAGAGGTGGGTCCTGGTTCCAAGTCTGTGTGCTTCCGAGGTCTAGTCGTTTGCACCATGCCACCTTAGAAGAATAAGCAGAAACAAAGAGTGGGTGTAACGCATGTCCACGAGAACCCAGTCAGACCAGACATGGATGGGAACACCCAGTTCCCATCCTTGGACTCTGCTCCTGAGCCGTGCTGTTCATGCCAACGGCAGTCAAAGTCCCAGAGTTGCAGGAGATAGAAATCTATTCCACTCAACAAGAGCAAAGGCATTTTCTTGAAAGGAGTCACAGAAGTCACGGGAGTCACAAGAGTCAGTGAGAAGGCTGCTGTGCCAGGCAGAAAGTAGGCAGCTCTAGGGACTGGTGAGTGAAAATGAAACAAACTGTCTTTTGCCAGAATACATTGGCTCCAAGTTTCTTTGTCCCTTGGCTCAGACTGTCCTGGTTTGGGTTAGAGAGTGTCCACTGGGAAAGAGACAATTTCCTAAAATGAAATCGTGTACTGGGAGCTGGAGCACTGTACTGTTCAACTCCAAGAGGCACCACTCACCTGGACTATAATGTGAATGGTATGCCCCCCTGTTGTGCAACACACCAGAGGCACATATGAATCCCAAGGAGACCCCCTGAACACTTTGCACTTATTGGATACACTGCCCATATACAGCACATACTCCTCACACAAGAACTTTCTGTACAGTTTAGTTATTGCATCTTCTCCAGGTGAGCTGGAAGATTCCTAAGGATAGGATCCAGAATATTAACATCTCTATTTCTAACACCATGTCATACAGTAGTTTCCATAAAACTCATTACATCCACAACCAAATATATATTTCCTTTAAAAAACGAATGGACCAGTATACACAGTGCAATTAAACAGGACTCTCAGCCATCTGGCATATACCATATTTGCATGTTTTCCTTGCAAGTTACCAGGAACTGGCCATGGAGGCAAAGATAGACACGTTGAGGACATGGGCATTTAACAGAAGCCAAACTCTGTGTTAAGAATGACTGTCTAGTAGAAGTTCCATCTCAGATTGACCTGGGGAGGCCTCATAAAGAAGGATCATCCTCAAACTCCTAGCATTGTTCCACATGGATGGCTGCTCATGCACCAGCCACGCTGCCCCTGGCCCCAAACCCCTTTTAATGTGGAGTTTGGTCTGTCTCCAAATATTTATGGAATAGGTGCTGTGTGAGGCAGGAAGTCCCTTTGTCGTTAAAAGAGCTCAGTAACTACCATCAATGAGCATTTATTCAGCTCCATCCTCCTCCATCATCCCCCCACCATCCTTCCACCCTCACCGCCAGGTTGGTTCATTCCCTAGTCCAGTCTCTGGTGTCAGCACATCCCAGCCCAGGCCCTTTCCACAGGTTGAGGACCGCAATAGCAGGAGTGAGAATGAAGTTGGTTGGCAAACCCATGTCCTGACTCCGGATCTCTTCATTCTATAACCCTATTCGATAACCATACACTGCACCCTGTTGTGTGTTAGACTCTGCAGTGTACTTGGAACCATGCAAAGAAGAAGGCATAGAAGCCCATTGTAGTGAAGGAAACAATCCTATAACAAAGGATTACAATTCTGGGTGGTCAATGATTTAAAAGTTTCACATAATAGTCTCATATAGTATTATACCCAGCACCTAGAAGAATGCCTGGTGTATATTAGATGGCTCCCCAGCAGTGTGGATTGATGGATGAATATATTAATGGCAAATACTTACTGGGTGCTTACTAGATGCTATTATAAGTTTTACTTGTATTAACTCATCCATCGATATTCATAAGAACCCTGTGAGGTGGATGTTATTATTACCCATATTTTATGGTAGGGAAACTGAGGCGCAGAAATGTTGGGTGACTTGCCCAGTTAGTAGGAGGAAGAGTCAAGATTCAAGCTCAGCCCAACAACAGTCTTGCCCCAAAGTCTGTGCTTTTAGCCTCTGCTTCTAGTACACTATGTGCACGGTGCCGGGAAATCCCAGCAGAGTCAGTCACCATCTGAGGAGCTGCACAAGGTTCCATCCTTTCTGCTGACTTAGATATTGACATGGATGGTCTCACCCATAAGACCATGATGCCTCAGTGCCTTCACTTCCTTACTTCCAACAACCACTTCCATCATTCCACCTCAACCACTGTCACCCATGTCAACTCTGCATCTTATCATCACCAGTGAAAGCACCACTTCTGAAATCTCATTGCTAAGCCTTCTGCCCTCCTGCTTCACCATATCATCCAGCTGCCCATTCTAGGACCTTAAATGCAATACTAGAAAATCCATTAACTGATCCCACCACTGTTTTTGCTATTAATCAGCTCCTCCTCCTTCATTTTCTTCCTTACTATCCTTAGATTCCATGCCGTTTTTATAAGCTTTCCACTGAATCTATTCCTAGCAGCCTTGCCTTTCTCTCCTTATCATTTTTGTCCAGAAAAACTCAGACCCAACAATCCACCCTCTCTGGTTTTGCATCAAAGCTACTGAGTATTGCTGAGAAAAAACACATCTGAGATAACCAGAGTATCTTTAAATTCATGGCCACGAACCTCAAAAAACACTCAACATTGCCTACTGTGTTTTTCAAGTAAATTACTTCCCCACTGTCCATAACTATTATATACCATTTTCTTACTCCTCAATGGACCAGAGTCCTCACCCTCAGTTTTCCCTACATCTTTGCCCGTGACCTTCACTGAGAACAGAACTAAACAGAGCAGCATCCTGCCATTTGTCCATTGGCCTTGTAGATTTACAAGTGTATCTACATCTGAACCTTTTCTGCCTTGTTTTGTCTCCCACAACTGTGGGAGCAATCTCTGTGCTCCTCTCAAATGCAAATCCCTCCCCTCCCTCCCATCTTCTTAAACACTTGTTCCTTCAGTCATTCACATTCTTCTACATCTTTACCTTCTTTGTTTATAAGATCATTCCTTTCAAATGACAAACGCTGTGAAGTGTCTCTCACCTTAAATAAAGAAACAAACCACTCAACTCCACACCCTCCTCTAATTGTCACTCATTTTTTTCTGCTTCTCTCTGTAGAAAAACTTTCTCACTTCCTCACCTCCAAAGCACCCTTCAACCCACCCCATTTGGGCATTTGTCCTTATCTTCTCCCGAGGATCTTGTCACTATATGACATCCATGTTGCCAAATCTACTACACATTTTTTCCTTATCTTAAACAAACTCAGCATCGTTCAGCACAGTCAATCCTACCCTCATTTTTTTTTAAGATCATTCATCTCCTGGCTTCTTTGATCCCACCTCTGCTTGCCCTCCTTTCCACACTCACTCCTTCTTGGTCACATTGGCTGGCTTCTCCTCCTCTACCCGACTCCTGAAAGGAGTGGTTCTGGCCTTTTCCCATTTTCTACCTATTTATTTTATTTTCCTGGGGTGGAGGGAGTCTCATACTATTCCATGACCTTATCACCATATACATGTTAATAACTCCAATATGCATAGCTCTCTCCCTCGCCTCTTCCCTAAAATTCCAGATTCATGTATCCAGCTTCTCTCAAGGACTTAGAGATAGAGTTCTATTATCACCACCCCTGCCCCCAAACATCTTCCTCCCCGGGCTCCCCAATCTCAGTAAGTTGTACCCCTATCTACCCAGATTCTCAAGCCAGAACTTTCCCTTGCTCTCACTTTCCACATGCAACTCATCAGTAAGTCCTGTCCTGATTGTATTCATTTTTTTCTCCATCAGAACCACTACACTTCACCAATCCATCACTCACCTCAGCCACGGCATTTCGTGACATGACATAAAATGTTAAATACCTCCACTATAGGCCTCTCCACACATTTACCATTTGGATTTTTACCTCCTTTTTCCTCAAGGTCCCCAAGGACCTTGTCCTTTTTCCTCAAGGTCCCCAAGGTCCTTGTCTTATTTCCTACCATGTCCTCAAGGTCCTGAAATATCTGTCTTTCCTCAACTTTAACAATCTCTTCTCAGCACAGGCCCCTTTGTTCACTATGCTTCAGCACACTCATCCCCCTTCTGTCCTTCCTTCCCAAACTCTCTTCCATATTAGGGACTTTGTCCTTAGTCTGCTGCCCTGAAGCTCTCTTTTCCCAGCCCTTTAAACAATCACCTCATTCTCCTCCCTCAGAGTTAGCTCCAAGGCCATCTCCTTAGAGATACCTTCCCCGACCAGCCTTCCCATCGGACATGGCATCTCCCCATGTTTATACTTTTAGCAAACATTTATCGAGCACTTCCCATACATTGTTATTAGTGCTTTACCTTGATTAATTCTTTTATTTTTCATGAATGGATGAAGTGGCACTGTTGTTGTCATTACAACCATCTTAAAAACAAGAAAACTGGGCCCAAGAAGACAGTAACCATCCAAGGTTAAACGGAGATCAGAGAGGGTCTCAGGATTTAACCCTGCGTAGTCCGGTGCCAGCCTGGCCTCTTAACCGTCACACCATGTGACTCACTCATATTACCTGCATGTGTCTTTCTAGCACTTCTTACATCTAGCTGCTGTCTTGCTTCTCTGTTTATGTTCTGTCAGTCTCCTCATTAGGATATAAACAGTCTTTGGACAGAGAGCTCTTTCTTCATCACTGGATCCCCAGGTCATGGTGAGCACAGATAATATAAGAAATCGTTTTTGTTTTAAATGGTTGAATAACACTGTGTATGTTTTATATATTTTTCAGAACAGATTTATTATACTGGCCCTGTCAATAATCCTGGATTTGACATTCCCAAGGTAAGGTTTTGGTTTTCTATTTCGCTTTGTTACTTAATCATTCTATTGAGCAGCTTCTTGAAACAGAGGAAGGTGGAGGTGATGGGAGAGAAGGAGGAGGGGAGGAGGAGTAGGAACAGGGAATTGAGCAATTAAACCTTCATAGGCCATCAGTAAGAAAACCATTCCTCCATAAAGCTGATACCTCAAAGTGGGCACTTGCCAATGTTTAACACACTGGTCTGCCCTGTCATTTTGGTACTTAATATTTTATGTCATGTCAGACCCTGGGGGATCTTCTGGGCAGATACTCCCAACTAGAGGGATGCAGGCCTTCTGTCCCTGCAGGACTGCTGTGTCTTCCAGGACCCTGGGCTGGCTGGAGCTGCAGGGCACTCGGGAGGCAGGCAGAGGCTTGCTGTCATTCCTGCTGGTACGGCTGCCTGTTTAGAGCAGGGAAGAAACACACAACCGTGAGGACTTAAATGTTCCCCCAGTTACCATCTTTGCACTATTATTCATGGGCTGCTACCAAGTAAATAAAGTGCCCATGTCCTGAGCATTCACTTGTGAGCCTCACAGCCAAGAGCTGAGTTTTCCTCTAATTCCACCTTTTTCAAAATAATGTGACTTTAATAGATAGATGGATTCAAGCAGCTCTGACATAAACAATACATGTTCAGTATGCTACTTGTGAGAGAATCTTATGGGACAATATAAACATAATCACAAAAATGTAATAATTTTAATCTTTTTGTTTTTAACATCATCCTTTCTGTCTTCCAAAAGTAGTATGTGACTCTGAAAAATGGTCTCCTTCTCCATATAGATTTAAGTTAGTATCATTTCTCTTCTATGTTTCCTTTCTACCCCAGCCTCCGCGCTCCCAGGGTCAAAGCCATCATGTCTCCAGACCGTCTGGGACTCCCACCAGCACTGCTCTAGCAGCTGGGAATTGTCCTCCCTCCCCCCCACCGGGGTTCTTCTCCAGACTCCTCTGCATGCCTTTCAGTACGAATTCAACAAATTCTCATCACTTCTAGAATGTGGGGCCCAAATTCTCCAGATGGAGTTTTCTTTAAATCTTTGTTTGAATTTTTCCCTTCCTCATTTTGTTTCTGACCCCTCCATACACACGCGCACACACACACACACACACACACACACACACACACTGGAGTCTGACTTAAAATTTGCAAACTATTGATTTCCATTTCGCATTATTGAATTTTTTAAAAAGATAAACCAGTTCTCTTTAGTGATTGCTGTGAAACAGAGGGCGAAAAGAACTTCTTACAGTCACAGAATCTCTTTATAAGAAAATCTACCCTAGGTGTAAAAAGCTTTATGCCAGGACACCTGGGTGAGTGCAGTACCTGTGTTCAACCAGCAATGGCGCTCAACAAGACTGCTGGCCAACATGAGAGCAAAGGTCTCCTGGGACTGGGTCTGAGTGTTTAACCACTCACAGACTCTCTCTGCCTGATCCTCCTGCCTCTTCCCATTCTGAGGCCTGGGCCTGGGGAGCAGAAATCTCCCCAGCCCTGACCCCGTCCCAGCCAGCCGACACCCGAGTAGGACACATGCAACCTGTCACATGGCAGCAGAGGCAGCTGGAGGCCTTAATTCCCCACATGGGTTCCCACGTTGGCCCAGGGCCAGCTGCGGGCAGCTCAGGCTTCCCTGGCTGAAGTCCAGCCAGCCAGGCTCAAAGATTTTGCTTCCTAATATGGGACAGAGACAGTGCAAAGCTTTTTGGTTTTAAAAGATGCCCTCCTCCCATCAAATCCCCCAGAGAGGAGCTCTGTGCTAATTCTGTACCTGCTTGGCTGAAAACTACTCCACTCAGCAATCAACCTTTAGTGTTTTGGTATTCTTTACTTTTTAACAGAAGGAGTCCTTTGGCCCAGATTTCAGTCCTGCCTAGAACTCTGCATCTGTCTATGACTGCTGCTTTCTGAATTAGAATCTGAGACCCCTGAGCTTCCAAAAGCTCTTGGGCAACTTGTAGGTGTAGCTTGAACTGCATAAGTGCCAAGAACTACAAACCCCTAACACAAATGTAGTGCTCATTTCAACAGCAGAAAGGCCACCGCCCTCTGTCCCTTGTCCCTGCTCTGCTCCCTCCTGTCTTCTGTATGTCCGTCTACCCACCTAGAGTCAGGCACAGTGCCTGAATACTCCTGCTAATTAAACCGGAGTATGTATATCGTACAATTCACAATCCAGAAACCCTTCCTTTAAATACTATATCTTTGCTTAGGCTTAAAAGCAATAATAAAAACTTCATTTTGTTTTCAATAATTTTATAGAGTATGTACTTAAATGCATAGGGACAGCTAAAAGAAAAATAGATAATGATAATGAAACATAATCAGATGCAAATCTGAGCTGGTCTCTACTTACTATTTATTCTCTAACTTTGACACTGCTTTGGTTAACAAACACTCTTCTGAAATCTCAGCTGCTTGCCCTTTGAGCAATCAGACCACAGGAGCCTATACATCACGGAGTCCTCCAGTTACATAGTGCCTGTGGGCTCCAATCCATCCTCACACCCTGATCACCATCCTGAGCAGAACCTGGGTGCCCTGAATACAGTTTTCAGTGGCAGGAACTGGCTTGCTCCCGGACCTCTGCTAATTGCTAGGAAGTGTTTCTCCTAACAAACACCTACCTTTCATGCAACTTCTACCCCGTCGTCTGATGTGTTCCTTCCCTCTGGCTTACACAGATGAAACTCCTTTCCTTTCTCTGGTGACAGGCACATCAAAAATGTGCCAGGAGTCTTGTGCATCCTTCCCTCGTGGGCCCTTTGCCCTGCGTAGCACTACAGTGACCCACCCCAAGCTTTTCTTCTCCAGACTGCAGAGTCTACAGATGCCACGTGGACCTGTAGGGGTTGGGCAGGGTTCTGGGGGGGGGGGCGAAATACGCGGTCAACCCCTGGGTTCCTTCTGCAGCTCCTCACAGGCCTGTGAGGGTTTTCCAGAAAAAAACCCTAAAAGGCAGCAATACAGAGTGTTGTTTTCATGCAGTAGAATTTAGCTCCCCCAGAGGTCTTCTCTATCTCAGCAAATGACACTGTCCTTCCAGTTGCTCAGGCCAGAACCCTTGGAGTCCCTTTTAACCCCCCTCGTTCTCTCTCACCCACATGGGCTTCCTCAGCAAATCATGTCAGCTCTTCTTTCAAAAGCTATTCAGAATCCAACCCCCACTCCCTCTCCATCATCTGCTCCAAGTGTTCACCATCTCTCACATGGACTCCTGACGCCGTTTTGCCCTCTGTAATGAGCTCTTCCTGCTGCCGCCCTCTCTCCCCACAGCCTTCTGTTAGAGGCAGCCACAGGAGTCCTCCTCTGGGGAAAACACTGTCCTGAGCAGCAGCCTCCGTTTCTGTCAGAGTCAGAGCCAGCACCATGGCCAGTGAGCCATCCCTGGTCCCACCTCCTCCCTCTGCTCCTGTGGTGCCCTCTCCCTAGGGGCCCACTGGCATCTTCACTCTTCCGGAACAAGGGAGCAGCAGCCCCCAGGGCAGCATGACGCAGGCCTGTACCTTCTCCACGGGCCCGCCTTGACCGCCTTACTTAAAATCGCCACCCTGCCCTGCGCTGCCCAGCACTCCCGTCCGTCCCTGCTTGAATTCTCTCTGTAACATCGGCATGTGACATACCACATACGTGGCTAATGGTCACATGTGTTGTCTGTCTCTCCCAGGGAGCCCGTGAGCTCCACAGGATGAGATTTGGTTTGTCTTGTTCTACTTTATCCGCAGTGTCTGAGGCAGTGCCTGCACATTGAAGGTGATTAATAACTATTTTCCGACTGGTTGATTATTCTGTAGGTTGCACAGCTCACACTTTCGCTGTGTCCCTTTCAGGGAGAATACCAGGTTTTGCTGAAACTGTATAATAAAAGCAATCCCATGGTGGCCTGTGCCAATGCTACCGTCATCTGTTCCTGAGCAGCTCAAAGGCATGACGATCTGCCTCGTGGGAACTGCAAGCTCTTCAGCCTGAACCTACTGTGCCAGAAGAACCAGTCAGCTACAAAAGGAGCCTCAAGGAGCTTGTTGAACGTGCCAGTGTGACTTCAGCCCCAGCACCAGGGGCCCCAGGCTCCACATGTGTAATGAAGTGCCCGAAAGTACCTGCTTCTAAGGAGCCTTCTAGTACTCACTGAGCAGTCCGGAGGGTCCATCGTTCTTCACCAAATGGCCACCTCCCACCAAATGTCCTGCTTCTCAGCTCCTTAGGAGTGCTTCCTCATTTACCCAGAATAAAGAAAGCTGGCCCAAAATCACTTCTCGTGGTTCTTCCAAGAATCTGAGTACAGTCCTGAAGTTATAATGCAGTTTCCTGCAGACACGGTCCGGGGCTGGCACAGCGTACATAGTGCTAAGAGATTCGTCAGGATGGTGGTGAACCTCCTCCATCCTTCCCCCGGGCCAGCCCTGTGCCTCGGACCACAAGGGTGGGGAAGCCGATGAAACCTCGTAATGAGTGACAGCAGAGTCCTCCCTGATGGGTAACTGCTGAACAGAACGAACCGGGCCCTGCACTCATACTCCAGGGAGCAAAACCGACACTGTCCCTGTGGAGCTCGTGGTCTCTGAAATATTCAAAAGCCGCACGCTGGCCAGTGCGGAAACGCCGCAGTGCCCTCCGTCATGAGCAGGGTGCCTGTCCGCTGCCAAGGCTGCCGTGCCAGCCCCGTCTTCTCCTGTCCCCAGGATGTGCAGAATCGAACGGCGGGCTCCACGGCCCCTTCGCCGTCCTGTGCCCGTCTCCTTGCCCCTCTCCTTCCGGGCCCCCTGCACCCAGCGAGTCCGCCTGGCCCTGTTGCTCCCACTAAGGGGCTAGAATCAGGTGGCTGAGTTCCCTTCGTCATCTTTAGGACTTTTCTATTCCTCAAAGGGCCACTACATTAGAGATTGAAAGAGGAAAAAGTCATAGTTTAAAAATGTCCATTGTATTAATTACTCTCTGTATACAATTAAACTACCTGGTGTAGCAGCCCATATGCCAGGTGAATCAAAACTTTAAAACCAGAATCTGAGGTTTTCTGGGTTATAAAGAGGCAAAATTACAGTAGTGTCCTCACCTGTGCCCCTAAGTGCTCATGAGAAAAGACCAGCTGTGGCTGTGCCAGGCTCAGGAGCAAACTCCACACTCAGGGTGGTACCGTTATGTACACGAACCGCAAACTGAGTTTCCGATCCTTCACCACTGCCTCTAGTGAGACTCATTCCTCTGCTCCCTGCTTGGGAAACGCCCCTGTTCTAGCAAAGGCCCACCCGGGTTCTGGGCACAGTCGTGTTCAGCGGCTCAGGACAGCCGTCACAGCCTTGCCACGGCAGGGGCACGGAGGGGATGAGCTCTCTCTTATTTTTCTGCAGCTCAGCTGTTTCCCTTCCTAGTCTTCACCCTCTTAAAAATTCAACATTGTGTGTACATGTAGGTATGAGAGAAAGTTTCAGATGCTGTAGTTTTGAGTTAAACAAGGAATTTCATATACAGGGCTAACTGTAACCATGACTGAGTACGCAGCGCATTGCACTAAAGATGCATGATTTGAGAGAAAAAGAAAGTGTTTCTCTGGCCCCAAATTCATTTGTCCTTAGTGTGCTGTTATGGGCCTTAAATTTCACCATGAGTTCCACTCTTGCGAGTTGAGAAAATTGCTTACTGTTTACAAGTCTCCCATTGAAATACGAACGGTCCTGGTGGGAGAAGCAGCCAAGCTCACTGTCCCTCTTTAACACTCCGGCAGAACGTGCCGGTGAGGGTGACATTTGGCACTGGCCTCCAGGCAGCAGGCAGTGTGGAGGAGGTGGGCGGGCCAGGCAGCTCTGTTAGGGGCACGTCTGTGTGTGCCCCCAGGGATGGGGGTGAGTGTGCACAAAGAACTTAATTTACCTCTCAGTTTCTCATACACAGAGTTTGCTACTATTTCAAACTCACCATCAAATATTCTAAAAATCTATCCTCAATAAAATCCACCCCCCCAGAAAAAATCAATTTGGTTCAAGATTATACTATGCCTCCAGAGCCAAAGAGCTCTTGGGGATATCAGCCAGCTCCAGTCCTTTGGGGCCCCAAGCCTACACACACACACACACACACACACACTTTTTATTTCAATATGCTTTCACTTTTTTATGTTATTTTTTCATCACCATTTATCCCCTCTATACCCGCTTCTACCTCCACATACTCCTCGCCCCCCTACAATCTTAACCTCTCTGTGTTTACTTTTTTTTTTCTTAAAGGAAATGCCAGTGCCCAAGGGAAGCTTTGACAGGCTAGGATCCAAGCAAAATTCTGAAGATTAACTTGGGATAGTGTGATGACATCACTTGAAATGTTTGGTCGATGAGAAAGAGAGACTCAATCGGGCTTATGCATATGGGGACCTCACTGTCCCCTGTGCTGCCCGCCCCAGGGTTCAGGTGTCAGCCATGGTTTGCTGCAGAGGTTCATGCTACTTTCAGCACTTCATCTCTATTTTTCTGCAGTTCTTTCACCTCTGACCTCCCTGAATATCACCTTCGCCCTCAAGCAATCTTTTCTATAATTATAAATAATTTCATACCTTGCAAAATACAAAAAAGAGAGAGAAAACTTTATCTCAAAACCCTGCCCTTCATTTTGAATGCAATGTCTTTGGGTCACGTGACCATTCCTGACCAATCAAATTGGCCCTTCACTGATTGGTTTAGCCTTAGTCACACGATCCACTCCCCAGTGCTGGATTCAGTTAGTCCCTCTAACCAGAACCACACTATTCCCTAAGAAGAAACTGGGGATGTGAAAAAGGTAAAGTGAAAAGGGGGAAAGATACTAGGAGTCCAGAACACATGTAGAATTATACAGGCCAGTTTTCAGTTCTAACTTCCATAGCCATTAACTCAACAAGTGCCTTAAATTCTCTGAGCCTCAGTTTCCTCATCTGTAAGTGTCAACAATAACCATACCTACCTTATAGAAATACTGTGAGAATCAAATTAAAAAATGCACATAAAGTGCTTGGAACAGTATCTGTCTTGTAACTCAATCTAAGTGAGTTATTATTATAAGGTAGTGCCTCATTTCTTTGGGTCTCTATAATAAAAATGTCATAAACTGGGTGACTTACAAATAATAGAAATTTATTTCTCACAGTCTCGGAGGCTGGGAAATCCAAGATCAAGGAGGTGCTGGCTGATTTTGGTGTCTGGCAAGGGCCCTCTGCTCACAGACAGCCTCTCTCTGCGCTCCCACATGGCAGAAGGGGCAAACGCGCTCGCCAGGGTCTCCTTTACGCGGTCACTAACCCCCAATCACCTCACCACAGCTCACTTCTTAACACCATCCCTTTGGGAATTAAGAGTTCAACAAATGGATTTGCAGGGGACACAAACATTAGTCCGTAATTGGTGGGTGTTCACCTGTGGAACTGAAGCCCTGTTTCCTAGTTTACCTCTGCTACACTATCTGGAAAACAGTGGTGGGCCCGGCTCTCACCCAGAGCCCACATTTCCTTGTAAGTCCTGAAATGGTTCCTTGCCACCTCAACTTCTTCTAAGTGTAGCTAGTTTTATTAGACCTGTGGTGGGATCATATTGCAGAGCTATACGCTTGGAGTATTAACTCAGAGAAGAAGTTAAGGAAAACCTTCGGTTACCAGATTTCCCCCAGACGGAAACATTATAACTAGGCCAAAGGGGCCTACAAAAGAAAATGTGTGTACTATTTAATTAAACTTGTTTTCTGTTAAAAAAAGATACAGATCCAAGACATGAAAAACTAAATGTAACATCTGCAAATTTAACAATTACGTCTGCCTTCATAAAAAATAACCCAAAATAGCTAGTGAGAGAGTGGGAAGGGCCACATCCTAATTTTAGGGGACTTGTGAAGAGAGAGCTAATCAGCTCAGCAGTTTGATTTCAGAGTTGAAGCAGCGACAGGTTTCTCAGTCAGCAAAGCAAGTTCCTCTAACTTCCTGATCATTTTATCCGGCAAACAGTGGTTCCAGAGGAGTTGGCAGAGAGCTCTTTTATATCGTTAGAAAATAACTTCAGTTGTTCCTTTTGGAACTGAAGCCTTCAGCTGCCTTCAAATGTACCAGCCTAATTTTTTTTCTCTCCTCTAAGCCAGCTTTCCTTTAAAATGTGTGAAAGAGGAAATTCCTCCACTATCTTGGTCTCCTCACTGCTGAGGAGAATGTACATATCAGTGTTCTTCTAGCTGAAAACAATGAGCTCTTCACCAAGCTGATAGTTTTATGGATTCCCTGAAACTGAACCAACGATGGAGGAAAAAACGCCCTTGCCACGTAGGCCCGCATCACTGTGTTGTGGCTCCCCTCCTTCTCCTCCACTCAGAAATGGCAGAGGAGCAACCCGGAAGAGCCCAGAGAAAATTATTGAGATGATCAAAGGGATACTAAGTATTTCCATACAAAGGTAGACTAAAAAGATTAATATGTATAAGTTGTAGAAAGACATTTGAGAAGGCAGAACAACGATAATAGCGTGATCCAGAATGAAATGGGACAGAACTGCTCTTGAGCTGACTGGGGTGCCCAGAAATAACCGACGGAGAATAGGAGACGAGTCTGAAGAGGTCTGAAGAGGTTCTGTAATACGCCGGTGGAGTGAGAAATCAGCGATATTTATTAAGTTGCCATTGGTGGAGTGTCTGCCCATGAAGCCCCAGGCCAACACAAAAGGAAGTCCAGGTTTGCTCAGCACAGGCTTTTCCTGCCCCAGGCCTGCAGCAGAACAGGAGTCCCATTCCACCCCCACACATGCTCCACCCCCGCTCCTTCTGCTTCCCCACTGACCTCTGGACGTCCATCTGGACCCACTTGCAACCTCCACACTGTCCCCAGGATACTGGTTTTCCTTCTGCTCGAAGACAGGCAGGATGCATTGTTCCTGCTGTGATCAGAGTCCCTTTCTCACCATCCTCCCGACAAGAAGGTCAGGGCCCACAGTCTGTCGTTGCTCTGGACTGGAGCTCAGCCCTCAACGCCCCCAGCATGGCCCCTTGCAGGCCCCCATGGCAAACCTGCAGTGCAGTCCAGAAGAGAAGTCTCAAGTACAGAGTCCTTTACAAAGTATTAGACAATTTTACACATGACGAGAATGAAATTTTTAGAGGACATTGTCATAGCTACACAGACAATATGTATAACTCACATTTATTAGCCAACAGCTTTAGCTTTCTTGTGTCCTTTGCTCTCTGTCTCCACCCAAACCAGACATGGTCTCAGCTTCAGGGGGATGCGCCAAAAGCCACACAGCAAAGGTTCGGACTAGCAGGTTAACTGTCAGGTAGTTACTTAGCTGCTGAGACGGAGCCGCCACGGATCCAGTCTCTAACTGTGTGATGGGGACTCCTCGGGCAGCCTTTCGACAAGCACAACAGACTGATTTTCACAGAAACGAATGCCTCCAGACCAAGTGCCATGCTTGGCACCAGCACTAGGGTTGATGACACGCTTGTGTGAATCGGGAACCAGAATTCCGAGTGCGACCAGAACCAGTGGCATAGGATTTGGCAAGAAGGTGCCATCTTCATGCAAAGTGAAGGGGAGCTGGTCCTCTGGGCAG